CTTGGATGTTTGTTCACTATTCATTGACTAATTTGGCAATGGCCAGCTGCCAAAAAATGACTGAGCAAATAAATCTTGTCTATTATTCACTCACAATCTGAAAACATTATACAATCTGTATTCTCTCAACTTAAATTTCCATTTCTAGATATTTGAATTGATTTCATATTAAAAAATAAACAAACAAATAAATAAAGAAAAGAAAAAAAAGCTTTCTTTACAAAAAAAGGAGTTCAAAGTATTTATGGGTTACTTTCTAAGTTTTCTCTAAATTTTCATATCTTTATATACTCACATATCATGCAACTTTTGAAGCTAATTTTAAGGGGGTCGCATCATACACAAGATAATTAGCGTCTGTACTGCTGTCCCTGACTACAAAATTGACCAAACTATATATCCACATTAGCTTCAAAATTAGGTCTCCAAACATTGCATGATATGCAAATATATAAAGTAATTACTTTCAAAGAATTCAGCAGATACATGATCAGGAAGAGTTATTGTAAAAGTAAAGACTTGAAGTAATTTACTTTTATTAACAAACTTATGCAAGAAAAAAAAAAAAAAAAAAAAAAAAAAAAAAAAAGCTTTCAAAACTCGAGACAGTTAAGAAAAGTTTATTATACACAATATTTCTGCACACTTTATATACTGAATCATCCATCCTTTTTCTGAAAGAAAACTTACATTTGCAGTATTTTTACAGATGATTGCCATCTCAATAGTTGTACATCATTGAATTAGTTAATTTGTGAAATTTATAAATGATCCTCGTTTCCAGTTTTCTTCAAATTATCTTTGAGCAAATATGCAACAACCTTACAAAGATTAGCAGTAGCAAAAAATATACACACCATTCAGTCTGTACTGCCCAAATTCCTAAAACTTGCATAAGTACAATGGCCTTCCTGGCCTAATCATCATGGAGTAGCCCAGCCTCTTAACACCTGTCCTGAGGTCACCTGGACATATCACTCTGCCAGTCAATCTTTCTCATTTAAATTTTTGATCTAAAGAAAACAGGTTGAAATGCCTTCAGGAGCAGAGAGTGACTAACAAGAAAAGTAAACAAGTGACTTATTGAAATAATAAACAGTTATTTTTGAAACAGTTTATTTGTTGAGGTTACTGTGATCAGTTTAACCCTACCCAAATCTGTGGGATACCTAACTACAGCCAGTTGAGGAGTTAGGTGTCATCTTTATTGACAACATATTTCAAAAACAACCCCTTCTACTCTGCAGACCAACTAAAGTGCGGAAAATTTCTTCAGTTGACAAAATTCTCAAGTAGTGTCAGGCAAAGAGTGGGATCATGAATTGGTGACTGTCCCATCTCATGTGTCAGGTTACAAGTTAATGTGTATATTTAATAGATCAGCCAAATTCTTGACCACAATAGATAATCAAGGGGTGTTTATCTATATAGAAAAAGAATTTTTAACAAGATCTGACATACTATGAGCTGGTTTATCTCAATTATCATTTTCCTAGCAGTGAACAAACAAACGGTACTCCTGCTATGCTAATAAAATTCAAAATTATCTAACTTGACTAGCCAAGTCATTCACATCAACCTATCAATTCCCATTCCAATAGGCATCAGATATAGCTTCAACCTTCAAATTTGGTATGAATATCAATTGAACCTGGGGTAAAGCTTTAATGCAGGGAGGGAAATTTTTTTTTTTTTTTTTTTTTTCCTTTTCTCTCCTCTCATGGGGTGTTGGATAGATTATGACAGTGTTCAGGAGCTGCAGTCTGGCCACAGCACCAATTATGACATATTCCAGGCCACGGCCTCCAAATATGACGTCATTCTGGGCCCGGTCTGCTTTGGTCTCCAGGTATGGCAGTACTCAGGGTCAATCCAGGTCTGCTCGCTTCGTCAGGATCGATCCCGGTATCAGAGAACAAGCCGTCAGCCCACTCGTCAGTCATTGATGGCGTTTGACACAGCAGCTGGTCTCAAAGTTGATCTCTTCTACTGTGACCTCTCAGCCACGTTGTGATTTTGATCTTAAGAGGGTCAAGCCGAATTTCCACTGGAGTATCTTAACCACACTAAACCAAGAATAACAAAATCAGAATAACAAAAAAAAAATATTTACAGTTCTTTTCTTTTTTTCCCAACCCGTTCTAATAACTGGCGACAGAACGAAAATTGCAGGTAGCTTCTTTGAAGAATCTTCAAGTACTGTGATTTGTACTTTCACGGATGGCACAAGGTTATTCGTAGTTTTTCTTCTTCAGCAGATAATTATTCTTATTAGGTTGGCAAGCAGCGTTATATCAGAAATCTCTTAACTCCTCTGACTGCAACTTGCTGGCCCCAACTTTCTCCAAATCCAACTCCCCCACCAGTCATTTTCTGTTTCACATTTCCAATTTTGGAAGATCCCATCTTCTTTCAAGAGAAGCCATTATATGATGTCAGCCTTTCTGACGTCATCTTCTGCTTTTTAATTTTTTCATTCACAGGAAAATTTTTTGCCGACAATTTTTCTCAGCAGATAGTCAAGCCAGACATCTCCCAACAGCCGACCTTAACCTCTGGCCTCTGATCCTGCAGCTGTTTGACAAACTGCATTAACTTTTTCAACAAAATTTATACATCTATTCCCATATCTATTCTCTACACATAATTCTCTCTCTGACAAAAATTTGTTTTAACCCTTTTTGCCCGTATGCCATGTTAAATATTGTTACAGCTATCCCACCAAGAATGGGTCTATAAAATCAGTCATATTGACAATTACATCTTTTTAAATTTAAATTATCTCACTAAAATGATTGACATTTAACATTACCAATTAGGTTTAGAAGTAGCTGTTTGGAACCAGAAGATAATTTGAATGCATTATAATTTTGTCCTAACAATCTGGACATGGACACAGAAGACAGATGCAGTTAAAATTAATAGATCTAAATGCCACTTGCTAAAATTTAAAAAAAAAAAAAAAAAAAAAAAAAAAATTGTTAATTTATGTTAACTTTGCAATATTAATGAAAGAAAATTAAACTTCTGTTATGTGGATATCTTCTGAAGCAACACTTGCTATTTGCAAGCCAAATAAGGTTTCTAAAATTAATGTCTAGACAAGAAATAAGTACACTTAAAAATTAACTTTGTTTGCAGCAATTGTGTATAATGCATATTAATCTTGAACAAAACTGGAAAAGTTAATTGAAAATACATTGGAAACACTGATGTCTTCAATGATTTTTCACAAATATTCTTGGATTTTTAGGACAAGATATCTCCAAGTTCTGCATACCTTTACTGAGAGAAACATTATCAGCTCAACAAAGTCCTGTCAGGTTTACCATCAGCTGATCATAATATTCTCCTTAATCTCGTTCAAGCCAAAAGATGCAAGAAGCCAAATCTGGCCTGTGAAAGTGGCTAACAAACCTTGCTGATGATGCAATGTCCTGCACCCATGACCAACAGAAACTGGCATGAAAAAAAAAAAAAAAAAAAAATCTATCTGATCAGTTATTGTAAATAGAATGATAACGTAATACACAAATGCAATGATCTCTCATTGTTGAATGAATAAGCAAACAGGAAAGTGTCCATCCATGTATGCACAATAAGCAGCCAAATGACTGATTGCCAAGGCAAATTATATGAGTCATGCAATTGGTTATATTCAAAATGGCTGCATACACTCAAGACAGACTACACACAATAGGCTGCAAGAGATATCTGGTTTAATGCTTACAAAATATTGTAAAGGCATAAACCAAGTGAGTCAACTTTGAGATTGCAAGTCTTTATCAAGCACCTCTAGCATAGTTTTAAACTAAAGATATTTTGCTTTTTTTTTTTTATACATCGTCCATCTAAAAAAAAAAAAAAAAAAAAAAAAAAAAAAAAAAAAAAAAAAAGCAGAATCATAAATCAAGAAAAATCAAAAAAATATATTTTCCAAACGAAAAGTCAAAGGCAGAATTAAAAAAAAAAAAAAAAAAAAAAAAAAAAAAAAAGATTTTCATTTTCAATAAAGGATTTATTTGGCGTTCCTTGTTACAATAGCTTGCTATAAAGAAGGAAAAAAAAATGACAACCCTTCCCACAACTCCACACAAGCTTTAAATGAGTTGCAAAATTAAACTGACCATAAGAAGTGCATCTATTATGAAATGTTTGAAATATGAGAAAATAATTTTGGAAGTTGACCACAAAAGAAAAAAGTATTCAAGTCAAAACTTCTAAAATATGTAAGGATCTTCCAAACATTTAACTTACATATAGTTTTTCTCTTACACCATTTTACAAATGATTAAAAAACAAGAATCAAGAACTGATAACATGAAGAGAAAATATCAGATGAGATTTGAACACTTAACTGCCAGATTATTTTTTTGCTTATTTAAGGATGTTAAATGATCTTTAACTAATCTCAAAGGTTATATATCTGGAAAGATTACATACAAAAAGGAAAAATATGGTCATTTAAAAAGGTATGTGCTATCCAACTAGAAAAAAAAAAAAAAAAAAAACCCTTACTTTCCAGGAAAAAAAAAAAATTTAAATTGGTACATTCAATAAACCCAAACTACTAATATGCCGAAAAAATAGCAGCAGGGAATTTTAACCAAAGAGGATTAAAAGAAAAACAATTCTCAATGAACAATTGAAATACAATTATTCACATGTTAAACAATCATTTCATGTTGAAATAATTGATTTTCAAAATAAAAAAACTAATTCTAACAAGACTTTGTAAAGATGGTCAGCATATGTTTATGAAAAGACTCGAGGCAGTTAGCTAGGAATAGACATTTAAGAAATGACAAGGAACAGTTGCAGGACCAGTTGGTCAGTATTTAGCATCCATAACACTCACCCCACACCCATTCATTTCTTCTCCATCTGGGAGAGGGTCATTAACCTTAGGACACTTGAGTACCTCATACAATTTTTTTTTTTTTTTTTTTTTTAAGGGAGAGTAAGATGCTTGCATACTTTGCACATCAACTATTCATCACTATACGAATCAGTTCTGAAAAAGAAAGAAAAATACATTAATGATTGGCATTAGAATATTAACTTTTTTTTTTTTTTTTTTTAACAATAAATCAATACCTTCAAAGTCACTCAAATGATTACTTTTATAGCAATACAACAAAATGCATATGGAGCATGTAGATAATTACCATAGAACATATGTAAACAAAATTATGTTCTGTAATATTAATGGTGAAAAACAATTTTGAAATTGATTATCTACAGATTTAATCTAAAAAAAAATGCCAAGATCTTTTGCACATAATAATTACTAGAAATTAATTCTTTAACATTCAACTATGTTCTGCAAGAAAAACATACAAAATAAATTTCTGAAATGTGCCTTGAAAGTAAAAGTAACTATCCAAAAGCGTTTTTTTAGTGAAAGACTAATGAAGAAATTAAATCTTGCTAGTAATTTTAAGTGGAATTTGAAAATTTAATAGAAATCCAAGTAGCAAATGGTAGACAAGGCTATTGACAAGTTTAATTTTACAAAATTATGACAGACATGCTGTCCTTCACTGAAAAATTATTTACATTTAACCTCAGACTTGTTAAGGGTTACAAGATAACCTGAATACATTAATGCCAATAACATACAGGTCTTTAAAAAAATAAAAATACTGAAATCAAAGATGCTAGTCTGAATTTAGACAAGGCTTTTTTTTTTATTATTATTTTAGCTATAAAAAAAAGGTTTAAAATGAAAAGCCATCTGTCCTTCCTTTTAAAAGGAAACTATAAAACTAATTTTCCAGATATTTCAAGTAGATTCTTTTGAACTTTTAGGGCAGGTTATGAAATTTAATGTCAAAATTTGTCATTTATAAAAAGCATGTGTTACACTTTAAGAGGAGACTTAAACATATCCATGTTTTTCTATTCCTCTATGGTTTCAATTTTAAAAAAGTTGAATTAGATTAAGTTATGGAGCCAGATGCTTGTATAATTTTACTCATCTCCATGGTTAGGAGCTGGACACTTGCCTTCATAATTGATATTTCCTTGATTATCTTCAATCCCTTGCAAAAGCTGGTCAGCCTCTTCAGGTGACAACCTCTCACCTGTAAATAAAAAAAAGCAAAGTGAGAAACTAACAAGATAGTAACTTTACAAAATTTAACAAATTAAAACCTTTATTTAAATGGAGGAAAGAAATGCCTGTCTAAGTTTTCACTTTATTATGTATGAAGAAGTTTGTGTGTGTGTGTGTGTGTGTGTATGTTATAATGAAACAAGGCAACATTTATTATAAGCATCACAGAAATGGTTTGTTAGCAAGCATTTTTACTGTAGTGAATTTAACCCACACTGAGTATATCACACTTATGGGCCATATGCCATTTAATTCCATCAGAGTTGACATTAGAAAAATAAGGTTTATTTCCTCCTATATGAAAGGACAGCAATCTCAGATTTTGGAAAAAAAAAAAAAAAAAGAAAAAAAAAGCACACCCACAAAGATCAGTTTAATGAGAAGCATTCAATTTTCTAATACAGACGAGATTAAAATTGATAAAAACTGTTCACATTTCATAAAGAACTGGTTTTCACTTTTTAATACTTGTGGCTGCCATCTTTCAAGAATAAGAACAGATATCACAGCTGTCAATACTGTTAATGTTTAGAGAGAAGCTTATAAGTAAATAAATTGCTTACTCTAACAATCCTGACATGACAGTGAGAAAACTATAATCGAAAATTATAACCGAGATATCACAAGGAGTTTTGGATTCATGTCTTTCACACAGGCATTACTGCAAAAATGTTTAAGCCGTCAACTGAAGATGTTAATCATCGGGGCAATTTTAGAGGATCAAGATGTCCAACAGTGTTTTGTCATTTTTAAATAAAGATTCAAAAAGTCATTTATAAAAATAAATAAAAAAAAAAAAAAAAAAAAAGCAGCAGGGACATGTGATAAAATGGACAACCAAAGCTTACAGCTCGCAAATAGGCTCAGCTATTGGAAGTTTTATTTTGAAATCTTTCACAGACAATTTTTCTTTTTCCTACAGAAAAGAAATTCCCCCCTTACAGATGAGAGAGTACTTACCTAATCCAGTGAGGAGATGACGCATTTCAGCACTGCTAACGATTCCATTTTGATCTTTGTCAAAAACTCTGAAGCCTTCAACCAAATCATCATAAGTGACAAGAGGTTTGTTTCTGCTGATGGTCTGCAGAATCGGAAGGACAATTTCGAAAGAGAGACGTTCTACTGGAAGAATTAAGAAACACATTACAAAGTCAATAGACATAGCATTTGTGCCAGTTTCATATTTAAATTGCAGCTTCACCAACAATACCTTCATAAATTAGCATAAATACCAAAATGATTAAATAGTGATCACTGGGTGAAATGAAATTAAATCTACAGTTCATCTAAAGTTATGCAAATCAAATAGGGCCCAATAACTCAAACTTGCTTTGAACAATTTTTGTATAGTTTAAAACAATCCATTTAGGTGTCAAATAGCGAGAGATAATTTTTTTTAGATAGTTTAAACACGTTTTATTAAAGTTATTGGATTTAGCATAAAAACTGCAGTCTGAAGTTATTATGCAAGACCAGTAAAATCACTTTTTACTTCAATACCAAGGTAATAAAATCAACAAGTGATCAACACCTATACATAATAAAACAAATAAACATAAGTCTTTGAAACATTTACATCTTAATATAATTTCTTCAATAACAGCTAGCAATCTATTATCCATTGATTTTGTTAATTATTTTATTTCAGTAGGTTCAATTGCTGTCCATAAGTCTGCTTTACTGTCATTGTTTGCCACCTTCAGATAATTTCATCTTCACAATTGACCATAAATTTTCAATTGGATTCAGATTGGAACTAAATAGTGGCCATTCTACTATCTTGTCCCCTGTAAGTCTTTTACACTCAAAAAACTCACTATTGACTTTAGAAATATGAGAAGGAGCATTGTTGTGCATAAATACACACTTCACTGTGAAACACTGAGGATGGTATTTGTATCATTCAAATAAATTCTTGTCCATAAAATCACAATCATTAACACTGTTCAGTTTAACTCCTTCAATGACTTTGAATGGTTCAATAATGGTTTGGTTGACAATTTCAGTCCATAACATCACACTACCACCACCTTGTTGCCTTCTTTTAGCCACAAGAACATCTGCATTGGGAAAAATCCATCCTTTGACTCATCAATCAAGTCCATTAAGTGTCAGATTCGTCTGTGAAAATTACTTTAGAAAATTCAATTTGTATGTATTTCTTGGCCCAATTTTGATGCTCTAAAATATTTGCTTTACTGAAAGCAGTTTGTCTATATTTCTTTTTTGCCTTGATTCCCTCAATTCCAGTCTGTTATAACTCTTCAGTTTACATTCACCTTAAGGAGACAAGTTCTTGAGGTTTTTCCTTTGCTTCTAGTTCTCAGCTTAGTTATATTTTTAAGAGCCATCTTTATCATTCTCTCTCTCTCTACAAAGCACTTTTGATATCTCCAATGTGGACATCCCCTCACTCAAATTTATTTTCTGTTTTCACCCTTTGCTAGATCCTTTCCATTATCCATATTTCAACATATGTAACAGAAAATAGTTTTTAGATTTCAGTGGTCTTAAACTAATAATTTAATTTACATAATTTCAGTCTGCAGTTTTTATAATAAAACTAATAACTTTAATAAATAGAAACTACCTAAAAATTTACAAAGCTTTGTTTTGACAACTAAATAGTTAAAAATTTAACATTGTTCAAAGCAAATCCAAGCCATTGAGGTTAGGGATTTGCATAACTCCAGACAGACTGTAAAACTAAGAGACATTTGCCATTTTTTAAATCAATTTTTAAGTTATCATATATCAAAACCCTTGATTTTGAAACAAGAACCCCTAAAAGAAATTAAGCCCTTCACATGAAAAATATCCAGGGTATCTTATGCCTACAGCCTTACCAAGTTGCCAAGTATTTTTTTTAAATAACCTTGCAATCCATTTTGTAGCAATTGGAAATACAAAGACTAGGTGTTTTTTTGGTTTTTTTTTTTTTTTTTTAAGATTTAGACATATTACTCTAAGAGAAAGGAGAAACTTATTTTGGGGTTAAAAGTTCATTAACCATCACATCAAATGATTTTAAAATTTTATAATCAGGTAACTTTAATCTAAAAACTAATTATTTTATCAATATAATAATCAGCAGTAGTGTTAGTGTATAGCAAATACACACACGCAAAGTGCATCAAGACCTCAATTTATTTCATAATTTTTGTATAAATGTCAATGACTGAAATGCAGCCAAGTCAGACAATTTCGAACTCTTGCATTGTTGCATTCAACTACTACACTAAGAAGTTTTCACTAACAGCCAAAAAAAAAAAAAAAAAAAAAAAAAAAAATAGCTATACAGCAGGAATTATTAGTCATACACATCATAGATATTTTCAGCTAAAAACCAATAAGAGAGAAATACTTAAGTATCATTTAAGTCCGTCAAAGCAACACAAAGGCACAACCATTTGATAAAACTAATTGTAAGATTCTAATTTGAAATTTTCAAGTCAAAAATGATCTTGAAAGAAAAAAAAAATGGATATGTTTGGCACAAGACAAAAATGAGTGGAATGATTATGTTGAAATTCTTCCAAGAAAAAAGATATTTTACCTATGAGTTTGGGAAGAAAGTCTTGTGGCATTTTTGACCTAACCACTGATGGTACTTTTTCAATACTTATTGTAAAATAACCATAATTTTGTTTTTTCTTTGCAGATTTGCAGAGTTTTGTATGAATGCTCCTGTGTGAATACAAAAAGAGCTCTTTGTAATAGAAGTGGCAAGAAATGTGTTCTATTTATGGAAATGAGACTAAATGTCTGAACATGCTAATGATAGCGTGGTCAATTTCTATTGGGAAATTCTCTCAAAGACTCCCAATGATTTGAACAACCTAGCTTTGTCAACAGAGCTTCTGCAAAAGTTACTTGAGGAAAATCCTAAAAAAATTAGCAAAATCAATTATAAAGCCTTCAGAAATTTGGGAAAGTGTCTAAACTGGGTCAATTTATCTATTATCTGACTGGTTATCAGCTTAAAGAGTTGCTCTTGGCTTGTCACTAAAGAATTAAATTGCTACCAAGCCATTCCTGGATAGAGAATCATCACTAGTTATGAAAAGTGGGTTCCCTATAATAATATACAACAAAAATGACAATAGTCTGCACCCACTGAAAAAGTAAAATCCACCCTACAAACCAGGTATACACTGCCTCCAAACAGTTACGCTCTGTGTTTGGCAGTACATGATGGCTATAAAGTGCTGAACAGAAATGAAATACATCAATGCAGAGAATTATTGTAATTATTTGGAAGCATTGCAGAAAAAAAGCACCCATTATTAGTTAATGAATGACATGTTGCTATTAGGTGATAATTGCATGTCACAGGAAACTATTATGGCACTAAATATGGAAATTTGCTCTCCATCTGACTCTTTAGGTTAATGTATCATTTATTTTCGGAGACGGAAAGCAGCTTATTGGACATGAAGAGATTAAAACCGATAATGAGTGGTTCTTTGCATCAAGACCTGAAGAATTTTACACCTGAGCAATCAATTTGCCAAATAGATGGCATATTATATGAGAGGAAACATTATTTTGATCAATTATAACCAAAAAAGCAGATCTGTTTCGTTATCATCAAATGCAACAGACAGGACTTTCTAACCTAATAGCTGCCTTTGGGAGAGGTAGGGACAGCTGAAGTATTCAAGGCAGCCACCAAAATTCCGATCTATTTGCATGTGTATAAGAATGCATTTATAACTATTTACCAAGTTTATCATTGGTTACAAGTCTACAATTCCACAGCACCCATTGTATCAATTGTCAATGATTAAAGATATTTTCTTAATTGATAAAGAGGTAAATAAAAGGCTGTACATTAATAAGATTGATTTTGCAATAATGACAAAACATGTCTAATGACTTGATTCAATGAAAATCAGAAAAAAAATTTTTAAAAATTGACATTTTCTTAACACAAACAAGAAGTTTAATAACATGTTTACAGGGATACCAAATATTCAATTTACAATGTCAAACATGGAGTCATGGTCCAATTCAGTGTGTGTGCATGTGAATGAATCAAACCCCACTTTAAAGCCACTTTGAAACATTTTTTAAAAATAAAAACTATTAGCAAAGTGGGTGATGGGGTTTTATTCTTATAAAATGCAAAACAAACTACATTAGAAATCTACATTTTATTAGAGGAAAAGAATTTTACCTTAATTGAATTTTTAACAACTAAAATTGTGTTACTAGTTTAAGTTAAAAATCAAAATTCATTTATCTGACATCTACATTTCCAACAACAATGAACAGAAGAATATTATCTAGCGATACAATAATTCTAGAAGAAATATATTTCCAAAGAAATTCTCAAAAGTATGTCTCATACTCAACAACTGCATCTGATCACTGTAAGAAAACAGAAGCCTTCAATTGATGAAAAAATTTAGATTGGAAAATTGAAATGCAAATTAATAAAAAAAAAAAAAAAAAAAAAAAAAAATCAACATCAACAGTATAAAAATACAAATCCATGATGTAAAATAAGAGCATTACCTTTGTTGGTGCGGGGTGTTGGTTTTTTCGTTTCCCCTGATTTTAGATAATATAAATACAGGCCCATTTATTTGCATTAAACAAAGAAAAAAAAAAAAACAACACAGAATTAGGATAATGCCACTTGGGGCTTATGAAAAAAATATTCCTTTATTCCAAAAGAAATGAACTGATACAAACAAAAATGAAAAATTGGATAGAATCCAGTTTTAAACAATAGATTTAACATGAGGAAAATAATTTCTAGAATGTACCAACTAAATCAAAGAATAGCTAAAGGAGAATTTTCAAATTATAATTCAAACTGATAAAAGGATCAGATTTTAATTTACAATTGAAAAAAATTAAGCAGAATTGAAAGTTTATTTTAAAAAATTAGAATTGTAAATTAAAGCTTAACAGAAGAGTGTAATAGATTAAAATTATACAATTGTTATTTCAAACCATCTATTAATAAAACGGGAGACAGTGAGGTTTATTAGAAAGGCCAAACTGGATCCACAAAAATCTCAAACAATCTGAAAGTTCCAAACACAAAGTCAATATTTCTTTCTTCTCTTCAAATAAGACTCATGCAATTTTATTTTTTTTAAAGTTGCGAGGCAAAAATAAACCAAATGCAAAAAATGCTTATGAATTGCAATCCAGATCCAAATAAAGTTAATCAAAGAGTATAAAGACAAAAGAGTTTTTCTCTCTTCCCTCCCCCCACCAGGTAGGAATATGCTCATCCACAAGATTTTTTTTCCATCTCAGACAAAAGCAAAAGGTATTAAAGAATGTCATTAGTAGGAACTTTTAAAGCACACAATTCAAAAATTTTGATTTATTTACCTTTTAAATAGTACAGGAGAACAAATGAACATGCTAATAAATGCACACCATGCAATACCTACCACTGCTTAACACCAAGCTGGGGCAGACAATGCCAATACTGACAGGTTTAAGAGATAATACTAAATTTTATTTCATAAGACAAAGATCTGATAGTTTAAATACACAAAAATGTATAGCATGCCAAATATGAAGTTTAGATCAAAACCAAACATAACTTTCTTTCCTACTGACAAACCATAAAATCCTCAACAAAAAATCTACAGACAAAACAGACTTTATCTATATCCCCAAATGGATTTGATATTACTAAATTTCTTTTTCATATTTTTAAAGGAGTTTTCCAAGCTTCCTCCTCTTTAATATATATGTTCATTTTCTTGTTCTTGAAACATTTCTATCAAAAGATGACAAAAAAAAAATTTGATTATCCTGAAAAAGGTAAGCACCCAAAATATATTGAGCTTGAATAAACTGGTTTTTCCCTAAAATAGTTATTTTTCTTAAAAAAAGGTTAATTTATCAAATAAATTAATCAGAATTCAATTAAAAATTCATACCAAGACATATATATAATAATAAAAAAAAAAAAAAATCACAAATTTACTAATTTTGACCACTTTGCCTGAGGACAATTTTTCTAGCAGGTACAAACTATCTTTAATAAATTAATGTCCATTTCACAAACAAAATTTTATTTTTTAACATTAAATGGCATCAAAGAAAATCACCGTGATTGAAAAATTCATCATAATTTTAAGCATCTTGAGTTAAAGTTGATTGAATTGAGCTTCATGGATAAACTAGCATAGCAATAGATTCTACAAAAAAAAAATTACATCATGCTTTTTTGTGCTAATTGAGGAATATAAAACTTATAAATTTGTTTGGGATAATGTATAATGAGCTAATCCAGCTGACTTTTACTACTGAGTAAAGAGTTCAAAGCACAAAGCAATTGTTTAGTAACCACCTATATTTCCATACAGCTAACTATGACAAATTTAAGTAACAAGACTTTGAATATGAAAAAATATCTAGATGGAATTCCTCAACAAGCATCATTCAGAGAGAATACAGAGGTTACCAAGATTCTAACAGGCAGATTCTGATGGAAAACCAAAACAAATGATACCAAATATGAAAATAAAAACTAATAAACCTGACTTAGTCATTGAAATGCCAAGATGCTATATAACAAGAGTGTCTGCATCTATGTGTACATATCTCAATTTTTTCTAAAGAAAATAATGGATTTTTATTCATCTGACAGATTTTTTTTATCACTTTAAATGTTATCTTTAGTGGATACTCATATTAGAGTAGACACTGCATCTATTTTCATCTCCCAGCCTGAATAATTGAGAAATCTTATTAAAGAAAGATTTGCACTCTCCAGCAGGATTCAAACCTGCACCCCACTGGGCAGAGTGTGCTACCATTAGACCCAACACACTCAAATCAATGATAGCTCCCTCTGCCCAGGGTGACACAGATTTAATAAGATTTCTCAAAGCATCTGGCTGTTAGACAAAATAAATATACTGTTTAATAAATAAATGTAGCATCTACTCAAATAAGAGAATCTATTAAAAAATAATGTTTAAATTTATATTATATATGTATACAGGGGGGAATAGGTAAATTATCACCATTTTATATTTTTAATTTTGTGCATGCAAGTTGTTTGTTTTTGATTTTGTCCACTGAACAGTACAGTAGGTTCAGTTGCACATCGTCTGTGAGTAAAAGAACATCATTAAGCTAATCACACCACCAGAAATTTGAAAACGGCATGCTCTACTGCTTAGCATTCGTACCAAAAGCTCCAATACAAACATTTTAGAGTGTTTGGGTGTCAATCTGAGGATAGTGCAGAGGATTTGGAAAGAACTGAAGGACTAATGGTGATTACAAAGGTGTTTGGAGTGATCACTAGTGATGGCAATGTTATGCCTCCATTCACCTTCCCACAGGTCCATAGTCTCAACATGGAAGCCTACATCAAGTGCCTTGAGGAGGTAAGTGCTTCCCTGAGTCAAGGTGGCTGTTGAAGAATCTCAGCAATGCTATCAGACAATTTCTGCTACCACATCATCCCTTACACTAACACTCCAAACTGCAACACCCCTGATTAATGTGTGTGGAGTGCAGTTGAGTGAGAAACTAACAAAACTCCTTGTAATACCAAAGAGTAAATGAAGGCAAGGATTATGGCACTAGTCACCAAGGAGACGTTGCAGAAGATTCTGAAGTTATCTGGAGGCCATGGTTCAAGCCAATGGCAATTTCATGGAATAAATTTACCCTTTAGTATTTTGAGATATTTTTATGTAATTTTGGTAAATATATCTGTTAAAGTGAGATGACAGTGATATTTTCATTTTTGTGTAATTTAGATATTGCATCATATATATGACTCACTTCAATTACAATAAACTTCATTTCAAGGATTTGAATAAATTGGTATAAATCATGCTAAATTAAAGCCATTAAGATTATATTCATGAGCAAAATTTAAAAGGACATTTTGGCACAGACATTAAGAACCTGTCTTGAAGTAAGCATCCCAAGACAATCTTTTATTAAGGCCTTCTGACTTGAGTTTTGTTTTTATTTTTCTTTATTTACAGTTGGATTAATTCCCTCAATTTGTTGTTACGATCATGCTTCAGCTTTCTACTGATTTACGAAATTTCAAACTGATCATAACAAAGACAAGAACTACACACCTCAAAAATTCAGGCCAATTTTTCTTTTAATACTCACCCCTTCTACCAACCCTCATTTATTTTATTATGAAAGGCATAAGCCATTTTCATTAATTTTCTAAACAACTGATGTACCCAATTGTGTGAAACCAGCTTGTGTGCAGTGTATGCCCCAGGGTAGATAATACCCATACTAACCTTCTTTACCTTCATAACCACACTTCTTCACTTCAGCCTGGGTGGGATTCTCACCCATTGCTCTCAACACTTCCCCCAGATGGTAGGCAGAAATTTTGCCATCACCTTTCTCATCAAATAGGTTGAAGATATCTTGCAAATCTAGAAAATAGAAAAAAAAAAAAAAAAGAGAGAGTCAAATAAAACAAAATCATTAAAAATGTAAATTTACATATAAATGGGTAATATACAGTCTTTGTTATATTAAAAATTGCTAAAATAAAATTTTGGATTAGAAATAAATTATGAGGAGAAAAAGAAAAAAAAATCATGTTTAAATTTAGACATTCCAAAAACAGAATTTATCTTTATTCCGTATTCCATGACATTTGGCTTTCCTTGGAATTTCTCTATCTTGTCATGAAGATACGTGAAAACTACAGACTTTGAAAATTAATCTTTGCTGGTTTAGTGAACATAAAAATCTCGATGGTAAATGATGCAAGTACTAATTTGTTAATCATTACAATGGACACCCTTAAAATGTGCATGTGTACACACAGGTACTGCCCAAAAGCTTAAAGTAAACTCAATCAACCTTTTTCTTGCTTCAAAAAACTAAAAGTGTGGCAGATCAGTCTCCTAATGAATGTCTTAAATAATCCATCAAAATCTGGGCAGTCATCATTCATTTTTAATAAAGTAAGAGAGGGAGAGAGTGAGTTTTCCTCTTTATATGACAAAGAGTAGCCAAACTAAAACTTGAATGAAACACACCTATGTAAAGATTTTGAAAAATGTAAACCATGAGATAACCAATGCTGAATGAAAAGCAATCAACCAATATGAGTGTAGATTCATCATCAACATTTGTTTTAATTGAAGGTGATAATCAAAATTCAAAATTGCATACATAAGATGCAGATATGAAATTGATAGCCAGCATCCATACCAAAAAGAACTTAAACAGCTAATGTGTTAGAAATTTAACATTGAGAGATTATTATGGAAAAGGTTCAAATGAGATTGTTATTGCTGTTATTAAGTTTTAAGGTATGATGTAAAAGTAAAGGAACAAAAAACAGATATCCAAGATAAAGGATGTGTGAATATAAGTTGGCTAAGGTCAACACCAAATGGTAACAGGGTTTCATGCATGAAGATTGCATTCAAGCATCTAACAGACTGTCACCACTTGACATTGACCTTAGTGTCTACTTTGTTTTGAAACTTTTCCCCACCTCTTTCTCAGACTTGGAATTTCATACATACTTTAGCAGAGTAAATGATTCATAAATAAACTTTTCACCCATGCTAGAAGAGATAACCAAAATATAAATGGACAAAAATAAGAAAACAAAAAGTTGGAGCTATACATTGCTTGATCATGACATCAGGAATTTTAACAATGGAAATGGATAGAATGAGGGAAGGACATTAAAAACAAAAAAACATCCCAATCTCTACTCTTATCTCCTTACACACTTCCACTTCAAGTACAACTGCAGGGAAAGTGAATGAGAGAGAAGATATAAATAGGCCAGTCAACAGCACAAAAAAAAAAAAAAAAAGCGAGTTATCTATAAGTTTCCATGACTAAAAAACCAATATTCACTTATATAAAATTTTAACCAACTAGTAAAATGCAGCTATTTATCCATAAAAAAAAAAATTTTTTTAAAAATGTATTCTTATGAGAATATTTACACATTTTAAAAAAAGAAAGAAAAAAAAAAAAGAAAAATTTCACAAATAACTTTTTAATATCTGAAGCACAAGAATCACATAAAATAGATTTTGGGAAGATATATATATATATGTGTGTGTGTTTGTTTTAACTTGAAAACCAAGAAAAAAAAAATTAAGCAAAACTGATATTTGAGTTTTTATATATATATATATATATATATATAAACTAGCACTAGAGCCCGGCGTTGCCCGGGGATGTAACAGTAAGAGATAGATCAAGTATCGACCATCATAAAGACTGAAAAATAAAATTGACAAAGATTATTGTTTAAGGTTGACAGACACACATGTCTTAATTAGTTTTTTTTGTTTTGTTTACGAATTGGTCAAACCCAAACAAAAACATTGTTTACAATCGTTATGAGTATCGATTGATGAATAGAATTTTATTATAAAATGGAAGAAAAAAAAACGTGCAAGACAATAAGAAACACTACATGCCCAAAAAAAAAGTGAAGTTTTGTTGAAATCGGTTGAAAAATGTAGGTAGCCTTTCTGTAATCTTTTAGTTTTACAATTTATGATTTTTACTTATTGAATACAGTAAAAAAAATTGCATATTTTGCTTGTGGTGATTCATAATTAGAATTCTGATTTGAATATATTTTCCACTCGTTTCTAATACAAAAAATGTTAACTTTATTTGGGTTTATTAATTTATTACAAGTACTGTGTTCTTTCCTTAATAATTATCATCTTCAAATATTGTTGTTTTTTTGTCTATCAGATTTCTTACGTCGGCATTTTTAAATTATTTCTTAATACTTTCTTTTTAAATATTGAATTAATTTCAAATAGAACCAATGCCTTATTGATCTGCCTTGTAACAAATTGCAAAGGGAATTGTAAAAACGGCCCTAAAGTATGTGGCCGATTTTTCGATTCGTACAATCAGTAGAGATCGTTAGATTATTGTTTAGGTTGACCGACACGCATGTCTTAGTTTTTTTTTTTACAAATTGGTCAAACCCAAACAAAAACATTGTTTTCAATCGTTATGATGAGTCCCCTGATTGAATAGAATTAGAATTTTATTATAAACAATTGTCTTGTAAATGGAATTTTTAAAGCATTCTGAATGTAAAAATTAAGAAAAAAAGTGTGCAAGAGAATAAGAAACACTACCTGCAAAAAAAAAAAAAAAAAAAAAAAAAGTGGATGTTTGTTTTATCGGCTGAAAAATGTAAGAAATCCGATCCCATATTTAAAGGAACAAACACAAACAACCTGGGTTTTTTTAACCCGATGTGAGTTGTCCCCCTTTCATTCTCACGATGTGTCTTAACAGTGTTTTCAAATTGATTTTGTTAAAAAAAAACAATTGTTTTTCCCATTTTCGGCACCGTTAGAACCACTACAAGGTAATTTTATGTAGTCCTGTGAAGTTTTGTTGAAATCGGCTAAAAAATGTAGGAAATCCGATCCAATATATAAACGTTACAGACACACACACAATCTGCGTTTTATAATAAGTAATATATATATATATATATACACACACACAGATGACAACTCTAAAAATACATTTATTCCATTGAAGCTGTGATTAAAGGTTGAAAATTATGAATAGCAGCTAAAATTAAGTCACACTTGGTATTTGGAAAAAAGACAAAGTTTTAACTATCTTAAAAAAAAAAAAAAAAAAAAAAAAGGATGTGTGTGTGTGTGTGTGTGTGTGTGTGTGTGTGTGTGCACACAAAGTCAGGCAAGAGAAATGCCTCAGGTCAACCAGGCAGAAAGATACAAGAGTTAATAACCTAAATAACTTTGATGAATGTTTTTCTTTTTGTATAGATTAAACCCATTTTTAAAGATGCAAGGATAAAATTCACGCTAAGAAAATTTGCTGCTATGACGGGATGGTTGGTACTATAAGTCTTATCTTGCTAAAATACAAAATATGAGTCAACTTTGAAAAGTGGCTCGATTTTCTTAAAATTCACAAGCTTTCTATCAACATAGACAGCTGAGATTAGTCTGGCACAAGACCACATGGTATTTTTTATAATTTTAATTATAATAATTTATAATAGTTTAAAATCATGTAAAATTCTGTATTGGGCTATTTCCTGGGTGTGATATAGCAATTAAGTGAAAACAAAATTAACAAATCCAAAATTAAGTGTAAATGTAGTTACCCTATTCTATTTTTAAAATAGTTTTGTTTTTTTTACTTAATTTGTTCCCTTTGTCTCTTTACAGAGAAATTAATTTAAAAAAATGTTATAGTATTTTAAATTTTTTTTAAATTTTTGCATAAAGCATCTTTGAAAGGTAAATAAGTCAATAAATTATTAGATAATTGTGGAAAATATGTTCATTTGAAAAAATTACTAGTTAGTTAAAAACCTAAAAATGTGTTCACTTAGATTTCATAAATTTTATGTCAATTCTAGTCAGCTATATTAGCCATTATCACTTCAGATAAACAGGGCCGATCAATAAGAAATGGTTGTGTATTACCTTTTTATGCTATAAAGTAATATTTATATCAAATCGGATTAATTCAACTTTAAATTTTCTAATTTTACTCAAATTGCATGTCAGAAATATGCATGCATATATATATGTGAGTGTGGAAGATTTTAAAAAAAAAAAAAAAAAAAAAAAAAAAAAATCAATAAATTTGTTTTGTTTACAAATTTCTTAAAATTAAGAAAATGGAAAATTTTAAGAAATCAAAATTAAATTTGACATTCCAATCTATAATTTCTATCTGAAATACACCAGTTATTTTAGTTTTTTTTTTTTAAGCTAAAATGAAATCTTCAAGAATGCTTTTTTATTTTTACATTCTTCACTGGAAAAAAAATTTTTTTTTTTAAAGACAATAGTGTCCTTAAAAAACAATTAAAAGCTTTTCTAATTAAATGTCATGGTTTTGTTGCATTTTTTATTTTATGGTTCAAAGCAGATTATCAGTAAGTCGTGTTTGTTTAACAACGAAAAAAGTTCTAAATGCTCCAAAGAGTCCCTTTTAAGTAATATAAATATGAAATGGGTGAAATTTAATTTCTCAAATTTCCATAAAATTAAGTGAGGATTAACAAAAAAAAAAAAAAAAAAAAAATAAAATAAAATTTTTTTACAAAGATTTTTTTAAAAGAAAAGAAAAAAAATTTCTATACTAATCTCTGGCTTCTCACTGACAAGAAAAACTAAATTTTTAACATGCTAGTAAGGATTAAAAAAAATTAAAATATTTTGGTCTTTCCTATTAATAAAAACAAACATTTAAACGACAAAACTATCAATTTTGGGGCCTTTTTTTTCATAGAATTAGTGAAGGTACCTTGTCTAAAGGAATCAAATGTAGAACTTCCATTTTTTAAAAAAAAAAAAAAAAAAAAACAACAACAATGAACATCCTGTACAAAAAATCATAGAAAGAGAACACTTCATGAGTTAGTATC